GTCTGGCAGCACATCAGCTGCTGACATGGGCTGTGCCTGGGCTCAGGGACACGAGGGAACAGGATCACAGGGCCACCACATCCCACCTGTCCCTGGGAAAGAGGTTTCTGGGCATTGCCTCCTGCAAGATACGTGCCCTGAGCCCCCTCCCTGTGCCTGGGTCTGAGACGTGCCCTGGGATGGGGAGCAGAAAGCCATGCCCGGCCCCGAGCTCTGGGGTGAAAGTGGAGGGAGAGTAAAACTAAACTGAGCAATTAACTCATCCGGCTTTTCCCTGCCCTTGCCTCGCTCCCAGCACATGAGACTGTGTGTGCTACTTCAGGAGAGAGGATCAGACCCTCAGCTGCTGCATTTCTCACTGAAACTGGTGATTCTGCCTTCTTTTCCCCACCGGGATCAGCTCTGGGACCTGTCGCTTCTCGGAGCTGGTCAGCGTGATGACGGGCGAGGGCTCTTCCTGGCAGCAGCACACTTGCCCTGTCCTGTATCCTGGAGGGCTTTGGCATAACCGTGGCAACTACCAGGTAATTAATAGACCAGTCTCAATGTCATGGAGACAGCCTGGGCGCAAACAGAGCATGCTGGTGCGGGGCTGCGTGTCTGCCGGACAGGGACGGCCCCAGTCCAGGATGCGGCCAGTGCTGTCTCCACCCAGCCAGCACCAAAATGGGCTCCCTGTGACAGGGACCTGCCCTCGTAACCCCGACTGACCAAGAGGAGTTTTGCCAGAGAAGGGGGATGTGAGAGCGTCCCATCATGGGGCAGCTTTGCTGAGTACCTGGTGCTGCGCAGCTCCAGCTGTGTGCATGTCCTCCAGATGTTCACCGTCCAAAGCCTGGGGGGAGCTGTACAATATCTGCCCCCCCTAACCCGAGAGCTGGGGCTCGCTCCAGGCTTTGCCTGTGCAGGAATGTTTGTGCCTGCCCTGCCCCGGGCTGGTCTCTGCATCTCAACCACTCGCAGCCTCTCCTGCCTTTTTGCACGAGCAAATTCCAGCTGATAAACACAGGAATGTCCTCTCGTTCTGTGCATAAGTGGCCAATTATGTGATGCGTGAGCACCTCATCAGTTCACCCGTGAGAGCCCAACTAATTGTGTGAGCGGTTAAATAGAGGGGGCTGGCGGGGGTCTGCAGCGAGCACTCTGTGTCAGGGGTGGGGATGGTGCTGCTGGTGAGGGGCTCCAGGCAGGACCCATCTGGGAAGCAGTCCGGAGGGCAGGGATCTGTCTTCCAGGACTGATCTAATTTCTGCCCCTGAATTTTCTCTTGCTCCTGTCCCATTCCCCTCACAGCATAGCAAGAAATCCTGGTGCTGCTTTCAGCAGGGTCATGCTGGGGTCTGTGAAAAGCTCTTGGCTGAGCCCCCTGAGCGGCAGCAGCAGGGAAGCCCAGGCCGGCAGCTGCCAGGCTCGGCGGCCGAGGAGAGCCTGGTTAATCTCATTAGGGCGATGGATGAGCAGGGTGCAGGCTCACGAGGCTTTGAGGCAGTGCAAAAGTCACAGAGCATCTTTATTCGTTTATCCATTAATGTCTTTTGTTATTTCCAGAAACATTACGAGCTATTTTCTGGCTCGG